TTTGAAGCATTTAATCAGATGTGTTGACTTAACCTATTAGTAGTAGAAGAGAATGCAGTAGATGACATGTGCTTGTGGTATATTTTCTTGGATGATGTGACTACCTTGCATTCGAACATATCCATTGTATTCATCTCATCCGATGCACCGATTGCATAGGCACTTACACGCATTGCATCATACAGATCGCAAACCGAGAACCCAATCGTCATTCCCGAGGAGCTCGAGGAGCGGTTCGAGTGCACCGCAGAAGTGAAAGCCATAAGCGAGGAGGACGTTGAGGAACTTCCGGAGTGCCCGATCACCGTCCGAGCTCCTTCGAGAGAGGCAAGCCCCGAGCATCTTTCTCCCGGTTTGCAATGATTTCATTAAATGTTTTACTTTAAATTGATGCATTACGTTCAGGAGTTGTTTGCCACCGCTTTGCATTATACCTTGTTTACCTTTGTTATACTATATCCTTGTTACCCCGGTATCCATGATGAGTCAATGCTTATTTGGCTTAGACCGGTAGAAGTCGGTGATTTCTGTCACCGTGAGCTATAGGTGGTTACGGATCTCGCTTGGATGGCTATGAAGTCATGGTATAACTAAGTGTGAAATGAAGTTGAGACCGGACGGAGACTTGCGAGTTTTGGACTGTAGTGTTTCCGTCAGCGTGTCGATTAAGGACCGATCGTTGTTGGGCCTCGAGTCATGTTGAACGCATGCCTTACATTTATTTGGCGGATAAAGTACCTTCCGACCGCTGAAGTGGGAGATTTTCGGCCGAGTAGATTGCCAGCAGCAAGACCGTGCAAGGCGGTGTGGTAGGACACGGGCGGGATCATAAGACCAAAGTGCGTCGGCCGGCCCCGGTACATGTGGTTCTGGCAAACTCGAGATACCGGAAAGTTGACTCGGTGATCAATATCTCACTTTAGCGGGTGAGTGAGGTTTGTGTAAGGAATAAATCACCACGGTGGCTAGGAATCGATTCGAATCGCCATCGCTCTGGATAGTGAGCACTTGACTTGAGTGACTTCATCATAGTAAATGTTTATGGAACTTTGGGACGAGTTATAGTGAATATGTGTATGAAAGTTGTTTAATGATCGGTGGTTATCATTATTTGCTTAATCACATGTTTACTCTAGTATAGATGCAAATCTAGTCGATAAAAGTTAATAATAATTAACTTGACAATAATGCTTTTAGAAGGGTTCTTGAAATGCTAAAAATGCTTCTTTTGCAAATGAGTCACTACCCTACTATAAAGCCTTCATGATCCTTGGTGTCATTTATTTTTGGTTATGTCGGGTAAGTCTGGTGAGTACCTTCTCGTACTCGTGGTTTTATCCCACTTGTTGCGAGATGGGCGGATGTATTACGGCTATTGTATCAAGCGCCTTTATCCCGTGATGGGTGATGCTTAGGACCATGGGCATGGTTATTCCTTACGTCTCGTCTAATGCTTTTGTTGGAGATAATCATTCATTTGGCACTATATTTGAACTCCAGCGTGAGTGTGTGTGGTTTGAACAAATGGCTTCCGCTACTTTTTATTGAATCGGTTTGTAATAACTATGTTTAAACTCGATGTATCTGAGATTGCGAACTTTTATGTAATATGTGATGGTGACCGCTAAACTTATTACGATCTTGGCTGGAATGGAAGTTGGTTTGTAAATCCTTCGTGATTTCACGGACTACCGGGTTATACGGGCTTAAGTTTGCTCAATCATCTGCTCTAGCGGATGATTTTCTTACTTAATTTCGTATAATTGGTCGGTTCTGTTACACCTGTACATGCATGACCCCTAGGAACCTCATTTGAGCGCTTTTAAGCGCATTCTCTAGTACCTTCAAGGTACATTGGATCTCGGTCTACACCTCCACCGGACCTCTCCAGCTGATCTCACTATCTACACCGATGCAGATTGGGCGGGCTGTCCTGACACACGCAAATCCACCTCGGGTTATGCGGTGTTTCTCGGGGACAATCTCATCTCCTGGTCGTCCAAGCGTCAGCCTACAGTGTCTCGGTCCAGTGCAGAGGCGGAATATCGAGCAGTCGCGAATGGAGTCGCCGAAGCCTGCTGGTTGCGCTAACTTCTGATAGAGCTTTGCTGCCCACTCCATCGTGCTACAGTGGTCTACTACGATAATGTCAGTTCCATTTACCTCTCCACCAACCCGGTTCAGCATCAGCGAACCAAGCATATTGAGATCGACCTGCACTTCGTTAGAGAATGAGTCGCCCTCGATGAAGTCCGTGTCCTGCACGTTCCCACTTCGTCCCAGTACGCCGACATCTTCACCAAAGGTTTGCCGACGTCCGTGTTCACAGAGTTTAGGTCCAGTCTCAATGTTCACGGTGCTCCCAGTTCAGATTGCGGGGGAGTGTTGGAATGTAATATGGCGTGTGGGCCTGCCTGGCCTCCCACAATGCCTATATATGTAAACGCTGATCATTCACAGTAATGTATCGAGTATTCCCTAATCCTACTCTTTCAGGGGCTGCACACGAACCTAGCCAAGTGCTAAGTCACCACCATCTACGGAGGCGAGGACGTTCTGCCGGAAATTGTGTCCATCCTTGGCTGTCAAGTGCAGACATTTCCCATCAAGTACCTGGGGCTGCCTCTTAGTACGAAATCAATCCCCAAAGCCCACTACCAGTCCCTGGTAGAAGCAGTCGCCATGAAGCTACCACTGAGCCACGGATCGCTAATGGCGAGAAGCGGAAGGTTAGAAGGTTGGTCTGGGTAAAGTCGGTCCTATGGGCGGTTTCCATCTACGCCATGATGGCAGAAAATCTACCTCCTTGGGCAAGGAAAGAGATCAATGGCATATGCAAGCGGTTCTTTTAGGCCGGGATGGATCAGTCAATTAGAGGAAAGTGCATGGTTGCCTGGCAATCCTGCTGCAGACCGAAAGAGCTCGGTGGACTTGGGATCAGCGACCTGAAGCTAGCCGGTTTCGCCCTCCAAACGCGCTGGCTATGGCTACAGAAGGCCGATCAAGATCGTGCGTGGAGCCAACTGCCGATCCATACCTCCAAAGAAGTCCAATCCTTCTTCAGAGCGTCAACCTTCACCAGGCTAGGCGACGGGCGAAAGGCTTTGTTTTGGGAAGACCGGTGGATTGACGGGGAGGACGTCGCCACCATCACCCCATACCTTCACCAGAGAATTACGCAGCGGGTGCGACGCACGTTAACGGTCAGACAAGGGCTCCATGACAGAAGATGGGTGCGCTGCATAAGTGGAGGTCTCTCAGTGCTCGAGCTCACTGACTACCTACATCTCTGGGCAGTCGTTGTGGACATCCATCTTGGCAATGAGCCTGACAAGACCATTTGTCGCTGGACACCAGATGGATGCTACACGGCCAAATCAGCATACAACATGATGCACAACGGATCCATCAAAATGCCAGGCCATAGATTGATCTGGAAAACGTGGGCTCCGCTCCGGGTCAAGATCTTCCTTTGGCTTGCCATGAAAAGACGACACTGGCCCGGCGACAGAAGGGCGAGACACGGACTCGAGGCGCGTGAGTTATGCTACCTCTGCGACCAGGGACAGGAAACAATCGACCACATCATTGCTGTATGCCCGTTCTCCCGTGAGGTGTGGTTCTATGTCCTACAAGCGCTCGGGCAGTAAGTTCCACCAGCCTCCCAAACGACGCTCTCCTGGTGGCGTCGATTGCGGTCAGTGTTCAACGGCGATCGGCGAAACGGCATGGACTCCCTCTTCGCCCTCGTCTCCTGGCAACTATGGAAGGAACGGAACGCAAGATGTTTTTGGGAGTCGACATCGACCGTCGGCGACCTACTGCACATCATCAAGGCCGAAGCCGACCACTGGATTCAGGCCGGAGCAGGCAGGCTACGTGCGCTGGCGCAGGGCTAGGACGTCGTCAAGATAGCCATGGATCAGGAACATTTTATTTCATAATGTAGCGTGCACAAAAACTAACGGCCGAGAACGAAACTCTTGTATTGTATTATAAACTCTTTTTTCTAATACAATGATATGCACACTTGCGTATTCGAGAAAAAACTATATGCATGCTTGCTAGCTGACTGGTCGAGCTGCTGGATGCAGCTAGCCATGCATGCAGAGAAATGAACCCACAAATGTCGACAGGTACAAGGGAGATGAGCAGCTGCTGCTTCTCACCATTTAAGGCTTGTTTAACCATGTGCCCAGAAAAAGGGTACATGGAATTTGTTGAGTGGGCATTTTACTGTTGTAAGCTAGTCTGTCGGCAGGGATCAGATGATGATGGATTGGGGAAGAACGAGTGTACCTTCTCTTTCCTTTCCTTTTATTGGAGGGAAACAAACGGCCGTAGCTGCTTCTTTTTTTCTTTTTCTTTGAGAGAGAACAAGAAGAATGCGGGCCGTAGTTGCACTCGAGACCCCACCCAACGGCCTGCTACCGGCCTTTAATCGAACAGCCCATGAGCACACAAAATTAGGCCCAAGTTAGCGCAACTCACGGGGGAGGTCGGCCCAGCACACTCCAGAGTCTAAGAACTGAAATTCCTAGCACAGCTTCATCAAACAAAGAATTCCGCTCAAAAAAAAAAAAACAAAGAATCGAGTAAAAATCAGAGCAAAGACTCCTTTATTTTTGCGATTAAAATACTTCGTTGCTCCTTCTGGAATAAGAGCAAGTTAAAATACAGATCAAAGACTAGTAACACCAAGACCATAAGTACTTGCATCCGAGTTATGTATATTCTATACTGTTCTCCTCTCTAAGGTCTGAGTGCACATGGAAAGATGAGCTATCCTATCCTGAAGCCCGGGTCGGCCAGTCGTAGCATGGCAACAATTACAATCTTGACGATCCAACTGAAGAGTAACTCCCAAAACAGTCCAACTTCAGCTTGTAGCACTATTGGCGATACCTGACAGAGTAACGGGTGAGCCATACTTCTGGTTGGGGCCAAATGTTGGACGAAAACTGAGGAAGGGGCAACCAGAGGGACAAATACTGAAGTTATCATGAAGGGAATGGAGATGACTCTTCAAGTGGAAGCTGGTCTGTGGGCTTTAGCTCCCAGCTGCCTAGATTTGTGTCTGTCGAATCAGACTTCGAAATGTACAGGGCCTTGTTGTGGAACCTGTGAAGTGTTTTCCGGTGTCCGACGCTTATGTAAGTAATGCCTGCAGCTTCAATCTGACTGTATAGATGAGCCTGTGGCACAAATAAAACTAGTTAGAGTTGACTTCAAAGTAGGTGTGAGTACACAGTACATTAGTTCTTCATCCATACAAAGGGACGCCCTGGAACACCAAACCCCTTCCTTTTCTTCTACTCTGTGATGGGTGAAAACATTTGTGCCACTCGGTGGGCTATGAATCTAAGACTACAGTGTTTCATAACAAGCAAGCAAAAAAAAGTATAGCAGAGTAACAAGAATTCAGTTTACCTCATTTGCTTCATCAAGTGCGCTTGTCGACTCATCCAGTAGGACCAAAGTGGGTGTAGCAAGTAACAACCGGGCGAATGCAAGACGCTGCTGCTCCCCCAGCGAAAGAACACTGGCCCAGTCATGCATAGAGTCGAAGCCATTAAAACGAGGCAATATGTAGCCCAACTTAACAACCTCAAGGACTTTGATCAGTTCAGACGTTGTGGGCACCTCAGATTTGGCACTGACTCCATCTGATGTGGAGACTTCAGACAGAAAAGGAAGAGGATCTGCTATTCATTTTAAAAGGAAAAGGATTTAGGATAAATGCACATGCATATTTCAGGAAAATGCTGCCATGAGTACCTTTGCACGTACATTTAATAGTTTTTTTTCCTGAACACACTCCAAACAGATTTAAGTAGTTTTGTTCGACATCATACAACTAACAAATTTGAGCAACATAAGAAGAGCTACCTGAATTTTGAGCATCATTATCTGGTGAGTGATGAGCCTTTTCAGTCCATGTAGGATAGAGCAACTGTTGACGAAGTGTTCCCAAAACCATATATGGTCTTTGTGGGACGAAGAATATGCCATTATCTCTTCTTTGCTTGGAACTTCGCAACAATTCTCCACCTTCTAAATTCATGTTGGATGGCTCATCAGAACTTGAATTTGATTTTTGAAGCTGCATAGAATTTCTCACATGGTATATGATCTCCCCAGTACCACTAGTCCAGAGGCCAGCCAAAGCACGTAATAGTGAGGTTTTCCCACTTCCACTAGGTCCCATCACCTAAAGTGAAAATAAGCATAGCACCTCAGTGATCAGTCAAGTGTCAGAGCTAACATTTATTTTGCCAAATGTGCAAGTAGTTAAAGAAATGAAATACCAGTAGGTGGTCCTTGTCTTTTAGTTCCAAAGTGAGGCCAGTAATAAGAACATTTCCACTTCTTGGTGTTAACAATGTCAAATTACGAATTTCCAGAACCATGCTTTGATCAGATTGTGTTAGTGATCCATTAGAACTAATAACAGAAGGACCATTGCTTTTGAAAACAATGTTGATCCCATCAATGCTATCACGTTGAGATGATGGAGAGGATTCATTTCCATCCAATAGGTCATCAAATTCACCTATATTACGAAGAATTTATAGTTAACAGAGGGAGGCAGGAAGGGACGAAGCAAGAGAAGGAGGAGAGAGAAGTCACCTAGACGATCAATAACTGCTGAGAATGCACTAATTGACTGAAATTGGAAAACAATGAGAGAAAAATCACTGAGGATATGATTGAAAGCAGACACCGATTGGTTTATTACTCCAAACTCAATTTTCCCTGAGAAGTACATTGGAGCAACAACTGCAGCTGGCAGAATCTGAATCAAATATCGATAACCACTGGTGAAAAACTCCAGATTCCGAGAAGCTATCAGCAATTCCTGCAACATAAAATAAAATATATGAACTGGCCAGCCTGGAAAAATAATTAACAGCAGGAATTTATAGCTAAATATAAAAATACAGAGCAGCTGCGTGGTGATAATTCAATGGTAGAGCACATAAAGAGCCAGTTACTCCAGCAAAAAAGAACTCAACCAACCTACAAAGAACTATGTGGCATGTAAATAAGAATAAAATAGGCACCCAAATTCGAGTTGAAGAGGACTCGAACCTGGGTGGTAGGGGTGTAGACCCACACCTCCCCAGGCTCTGTTCCTCACCTGCCACAATATCACCATTATTAGCAGTTTGTTGGAATATCTCAGAATCAACGACTTGTATTTGATTATTACAAAAGAAAATTTATTGCCCAAGAGGTATGATTTACATGATTATCAGATCTTGTCGCAGAGAAAGCCAAGATATAGAAATACAAGTAATCTGCTATACTAACGCCGAACATCATTTGGCAAAAGAAAATGATGAAAGATATTTCTGCTAACTCAGCGCTGTTTGCGTATTTGAACAGCCCAAGCAAATTACATAATATTTGTTTCTAGAAAGACAAAGGAAGGACTGAAAACAAGCAAGTTCTGTTTGTTCTAGTTATGGTCAGTTTCCAAGCTTCATACTCTATTCCAACTGCCATTAATATGGTTGCCATCACCGAAAGATAACTAGTTTAACATGGTTTGCAATGTATTTGAAACTAAAAAAAGGCAATGAAGAAATAATAAGCAAGAGTAGATGGCAAAAGTACAGTAATGCTTACACTTAGGTTCTCAAAAATCCTCCTGAACCGATCCAATAAAAGTTGCAATTCATTTTCCTCACCACCATAAAAAGCAATCGATTCAGCATTTTCTCTAACACGGACAAGTCCGTAACGAAAATCAGCTTCTTTCTTCTCTTGCATGAAGTTCAAGTTGACCAAATTCTGTTGATGCAAGCATAAGCAACTATTGGTTGTGTTGACATAACTCTATGCAAATTATATATGATTGACAAGTACATACCTTACCAAGGAAGACACTAATAGCAGTACCCCCAAGAGAGTAGACAACAAGAACAATAAACAATGGTGGGTAGATTCCATAGAGGATGTTGCTGAATGATACCAAGTCCACAGCAGCATTGAAAGTGTGAGAGAGAATGCAAGTGCTGTTCCAGTGAATGCGCTGAGATCATCATTTATCCTTTGATCTGGATTGTCAATTAATGATTGAGATTGAATCTTGTAAAAGGTTCTGTTTTTAAAGTAACGCTTCATATAATAACTTGTCATCCAAGATCGCCATCTCAAAGAAAGAGTTTCTCTTGCATAGTCTCTCAAGACAAAGAACTGCATAACAGTGAGAGAAATTTTGATACGATGAGTTGAAAAACAAGAATATTAGGTTTTTACAAACACAAATAGAAGGCACTGGAATATTAAACAAAGGAAGTATGTTTGCCTATTAATAGATGCAAATACAGGCAGTACAGATTGCCCATAAAAACTGCCAGGAACCACAAATGAAGTTTAAGGATGTGGCAGCTTAGCCATTCAGCGCAGAAATTAGAGCATTCAGTGCTACGGCTTCTGCATGGACATATTGTTAAAAGGAGGAGATAAGCAGCTGGATTTCAAGAAAGAAAACCACCAGTAACTTTTTTATTAAGTTGCATGCACCGACCAATTCAACCCAAAAGCTTAAGCTAATGGGGAGAGGTGGGCAATTCACTTATATTCCAACACTCCCCCTCACGTGGAGACTCACTCAAGCCTCAGACGTGGAATAGGAGCGAGCAACAATTATTTTATTTAATTGCGCTAACCAGGATTCAACCGCGAGACTCGCGCTCTGATACCATGATAGAGGATGAACTAGCTCTAGTATTCATTCATATTGAGTAAACCAAATTACAAGGATTTATATAGGAGCTAGACTAACACAAGAGAGAGAGAGGGAAGAACACAGCGATAGCAGGGAAGATTCCAGCATCACGTTGTCTAGCGACAAAAGGAGAAGTAAATACTAGCAAGAAGAAGAGGAGAAGTAAATACTAGCAAAGAAGAGGGGAGTAAGTAGGTGATGACCTGGGGAAGGTTCCTAGGCGATCACTAGTAATAAAGGAAGCGATAAACATTGTGACAGGAAGAGACCACACATGCTAAAGTTTACGCTCATGAAGGTGCTCCTCACATCGATCCTACCCACTATCGCAGATCTTTACAGAGCCCTGCAGTACCTTACTTTCACAAGACCAGACATTGCTTATCTTTGTTCAACAAGTATGCCTTCACATGCATGATCCACATGAACCTCACTTGTGTCTGCTTTGTTAAGAGGATTCTCCGCTATCTTCGGGGAACTCAGCCATGGCTGCACCTTGACCCTCCACTCCCTCACGAACTTGTGGTCTATATCGATGACAATTGAAATTTGGGTGTCCCGACACTCGCCGCTCCACTTCAGACTATGCTATGTTTCTTGGTGCCAATCTGGTTTCTTGGTCTTCAAAAACGCCAAAACACGTCTCTCGTTCAAGTTAGAAAGTGAATCACCATTTGTGGCCAATGGAGTTGTTGAAACTTGTTGGCTCTCGCCAACTTCTACAGAATTGCATGCTCCATCGCCTCGGAGCACACCTTTGGTCTCATTGCGACAATGTCAGTGCAGTATACTTGTCCACCAATCCCGTACAACATTAACGCACGAAGCATGTTGAGATTGATCTCCACTTCGTTCGTGAACGGGCCACCATTGGTGATGTTCGGGTTCTTCATGTACCAACGACGTCCCAGTTTGCTAACATCTTCACCAAGGGTCTTCCCACCTCCGTGTTCCAAGATTTTTCGCTCCGGTCTTCATATCAACGAGCCCGCCGATTCGATTGCGCGGGGGGTTAGCATGTTTATCGCTTCCTTTATTACTAGCTGACTGCCTAGGAACCTCCCTGGCTGTCACCTACTTACTCCCCCCTCCTCTTTTCGCTAGTATTTACTTCTCCTCTTCTTGCTAGTATTTACTTCTCCTTTTGTTGCTAGATGGCTGATGCAGGAATCTTCCCAGGTCGCTGTGTGCTTCCCCTATCTCTTGTGTTAGTCTAGCTCCTATATAAATCCCTGTAATTTGGTTTACTCAATATGAATGAATACAAGAGCTAGTTCATCCTATCATTTTTAATGGTGTCTTTGGGACATCTAGGGGGAGAACTCAAAGCCTTGGATCTAGACAGACTAGGCAAACAAGTGGTTTGGATTCTACAAACGGCTTCCATAAAACATAAACTGCATATTAAGCCAAATTATTGTTAAGGATGCTTATTAGTTTGCATGATAGAGACAGCTCCTGTTACAATATGAACCACTTGTGTAAATTGTTAATTGTAGAGATCTTTGGTCATGTTCCCTTCGAGATATTAGTACAATATTGTGCTACAGAAAAGTTGAGAAACTTGAGAGAATGGAATATACCAAAGAATTATCTTTGGATAGGAGTGCTGAGTGCATGAAAATCAGCAATTCACATGTCCAAACCAAGAGTTAGGCTATTGGTGTCTGTTATTGTTAATACTGATACTGTTATTACCTCCCTCTCCCTCTACTGTGGCTTTTGTTGGTACCAACTTGATTGGGACTGAAAGGCTCTATCATTGTTGTCGTTATCATGTTGGTGTTATGAAATGGTCGCTGATAGGGAAATGGGATTTTGCATAAAATGTAAAATATTAGTCACATGCTAACACTTCGCTACTCCAGCCAAGGTAGTACAAATAGTTGTAATGGGCTAACAGCATGAAGAGCAATACCTACAAAAGAGCAGCAATATGCTCACCGGAATTCCTCCAGCAAAAGCACCCAAGTAGTAGAGCAGTTGCGTGGTAAACTTTTGTTGATCCTTATCTTGCAAAAGAAAACACAAAACATGTATAAGCAAACAACCCAAGAGGCTATTGTACAACCAATTTGAATAGTACAAAATGAACCTTTAGCCATAGGGAGACTTGTTTATATGGTCCAAATGTGGTGGGATGGTGAAAGTGCAAAGACCTTTGGACCTAGGTGGCTTGGGTATCCAGGAACCTGGAAATTATGGGATGGGCTTTACAAATGAAGTGGTTATGGTGGCAAAGAACTTCAACAGATAGAGCATGGTCAGGTTTGGAAATCCCCTGTCATCCACATGCCCGAAGAATGTTTGCAATCTCGATGATAACAAACGTGGGCTATGGAAGAAACACCTTATTCTGGACAGACCGTTCGTTACATGGTTGCTCCCTAGTAGACATGACACTGGAGGTTGCAGCTTGTCTGCAATCAAGGATCCTAAAAACTCGCACGGCCGAGGAGACGTTGGACAACCGGGTGTGGGTACAGGACATACGTGGTGGCCTTTCTCTTAATGGTTTGATAGAGTTCCTCAAACTTTGGGATGCTCTTCTGAATTTTACCCTCACAAATGATGATGATCAGCATCATTGGAAGCATGACATATCAGGTTCCTTCTCTTCCAAGTCAGCATACAAATCTTGGGCACCAGAAAAGTGCAAGATGTTCCTTTGGCTAGCCATAAAAGATAAATGCTGGACAGCAGATCAGATAACAAAGAGGGGGCTTCCTCATCCAGATAAATGTCTACTCTGTGACCAAGAAGAAGAAACTATTCAGCATATTCTTACAACATGTGTCTTTGCATGACAATTTTTGGCATAGTGTGCTCTCTCCACTTAATTTACAGCAGCTGGTACCTAATAGAACGGAACATAGCTTTGCCACTTGGTGGAGGAAAATCAGCAAAGGAGTTGGTAAAGAACACAGGAAAGGAGTAAACTCCGTCATTTTGGGGGCATGGATTTTGTGGAAGCAACGAAACGCCTGTGTTTTTTATGGAGCTTCACCAAGTGTCTCAACATTGAGAAACTTGCAGCTGGAGGGACATCTTTGGGTTCTGGCTGGGGCAAGAAACCTCCAAAACCTTGAACTAGGGCGTGTTGGGCTCTAGGTCCAGTGCAATTGCTTAGTTCCAGTGCAATTGCTTAGTCGGGTTGATTTATTGTAATCTCAGAAAGGCTCTTCTATTTGTTTTGTTTTACCCCCTCTTACCTTGGTCCTAGTAAGAGGGGCTTTGTAAGGACCACTCTTTTTTCCCTATATAATACAAAGATACACAGCTCTCCTGCGTGTTTGAGAGAGAAAAAAAAATGTCATTATTTTTGCCTTCGGATACAAAGATCACCGAAATCTAAATGAGATAATTATTTTTTATAATGAATAACCCTTTATGTGCTTTAAAGAAACGCCTCCTCCCCTTATCCTAAATTCGTAGTCTTATCAAGTGTGCTGGCTATTCTGTGTTTGAGTATTTATCCAGAACGTTAATACTAAATTTACAAAAGCATTGCAATTTTAACAGAACGCCAAGCCATACCAGCAAGGGCATTGTAGAAGTCACGACCGAGGAAGTTAAATCCAACACTAATCCCTGTGGTTCCCAATGTGAGAGCAAACACAGCAGCAAGCCTCAGCCTTGCTTGGGTTTTATCCTCAGACCACCAGTAGGGAGCAGCAACTTTCCAAAATCTTGTAGCTAGTGTCTTGAGGTCTGTACCATCTCTCTGCAGGTACCAGCAAGACACCAAAAAGAGAAGTTCACATTCATCAGCACTTAGCAAATAGCAATGAACCAGAAGCGACTTGTAACATGAAACAAACCAGAAGTGACAGATGTAATCTATGTTTCCACATCTTCTCCGTGAAAGAGTGATGAGCAATCACAGAGCATTAAAACATACTCACAAACTAGAATTGCATCTAAACTACGGTAGTGTATCTCAGAGCTTGTAAAGTTTGACAATTATCCAATCAGTTGAAGCACGCTAAGACATCACAACGATTATGCATCCAGATTTGAACTTGGCTTAATTAAAAAAAACGCACAGGCACGAGATTGTGCCAATTTCATTGATAGAGAAGTGTAACTTAGAATAATTAGGTACAGGCATCTATCTACAAAAGCATCTAAACAGTCACTTGTTGCCAAATTTATTCTCATCTAGCACACACCTCGAGGCTCCAGTGAACCTGATCCTCACACCAGTCGAACAAGTCCACAGCGAAATCTATCTATACAACGGTACAAAACTACAAGCCAATGCGGCAGTGGCACCGCGAACCGAAACCTGGAGACGCGGATTCTGAACAGTCCACTACTACTACTACGAAGACTAAAATCAAAGTGAACTAAGCCCCCCTTTGGCATGGCTCTCGCACCGGCTTTTGCAGCAGCTTTTGCATAAGCTATACCAAACACATGAATTGAAAATGGCTTCATCGCGTGAGCCGGCAAAAGCCGTATGCCGAAATGAACTGGGCGTCGCGAGCCAGAAATAATGGCTCCCCCCGGCTTCTCCCCGTCTACGTACAGAAAGTTGGGAGAAATTACCGGTTTGCCACTGCCTCAATAATTCCCCATACCGGTTCCTCACTCTCACCCATCCGCATCCTCTCTCTCACCCATCCGGCTCCTCTCTCTCACAGTCCCTGCGCGAGTCTGGCAGCGGCGTTGCGGCCATGAACCAGCTGGGGCGGACAGCCGGAGGCGGGCGAAACGGCGGCGCAATGGATGGATCCGGCGGAGGGCATCCTGATCCACCTGCTCGTTTTCCCGAAGGCGCGGCTTCCCCTCGTCCGGCCGGCGCTGCTTCTCTTCATCCCGCCGGCGCCGCCTCCCCTCAACCCGCCGACGCCGCCTCCCTTCGGGCCGCCGGTGCCGCCTCCCCTGAGGCCCCTAATTATTAGCTTACCTATATTTTATATTTATTTTTTTTATTTCACGCAAATTACATTATTAATAGAGTCAACACATAAAACTCATATCTCCAAGCAATAAACAGCCTGTTCGGGAGGCCGTATCGTATCGTGGATTATTTACTGCTGGCTGGTTTGGTGTGAGAGAAAAACACTGTTCCCGGCTGGAAATTTACGATCGTTTACGAGCAAGCGAACAGGCTGAAACATATGCAAGGGCACAATGGACAATTGACATCTTCTATACATTCTAAAAAGCTAGGAAAAGCCGTTTTGCCAAACATTTTCGTACAAAAATAAGCTAGAGAAAAAGCTGATTTTTCATAGGAGCCAGAGCCAGAGCTGTTTTTTCACGAGACAGAGCCGTGCCAAACGGGCCCTAAACAAAGCGAAGGCCGAGCCGATGACGCGCAGATGCCCAGAACCGGGTAGAGTAGAGAAGCCAGCAAAGCCTCACCTTTTCCTGGGCATCGGGGACAGCGACCTCCCCGCCGCCGCCGGCAGCGGCCGGAGGGGTCGCGGCCCTGCGGCGACCGCACCGGCGCATGATAGAGGTCACGGCCGGAGGAGGGGGCGGGAGTCCGCGGCGCCGCGCCGCTGAGCGAGGAGCGAGGACGGACGCGAGGCGGTGGGGTGGCCGCGGCAACAGCAGAGGCGGTAGTTGCGGAGGCAGCACAGTGGAAGGGAAGCATATGGGAATGGGAGTAGATAACCGCATCCTTTTTGCCTTGCCTTTGCCGCTTCCCCTTTGTTGTTTGGTATAGGTTCTGGGTGCTTCCCTCCCGTGTCTTGTCTTGCGTGCTCTCGGCGTGGGGAGCAATGGCGCACGCCGCAGCGGAGGCGGGGGCAGCCAGGGTGGTGGTGGTTCGGCAGTTCCGCCGCGGCTGGCTACGGCTACGGTTGCTTGATGCTACATAGATGAAGTCACTGACGCGTGGGTCCCTGATGAAGTCACTGTGGTAGTGATAGTGGCCAGGAGGATTCTTCAAGAAAATACTGGCCAGGAGGACGGACTCGTGTCGCGGCGGGGACGAACGGCGGGGAGGTGCCAGCTACACCACACGCAGCCTATCCACGTTCTGCCGCTCGCACAACCAGCACGGACAAGGAGTTTTCTTAGGGCTTCCCCAACGCACCTGGCTGGGCGTACTGCCCCAAGTTCCATCTCAGCATCCATTGTCCATGTCACAGCAAACGATGGTCTTGCAGTTGTTAGGAATAGCTCGTAGAAGCTGCATCGACCTTATCTGACGAAAAGTTGAGGCTACAGTTCAGGCCTAGTTTAGTTTCTCCTAAAAATTTACATCATATTCCATCGAATATTTGACATATGTATAGAGTATTAAATATAGACTAAAAAATAACTAATTACATAGATTGTGACTACTTTGCGAGACGAATCTTTTAAGTCTAATTAGTCCATGATTTGACAACGTGGTGCTACAGTACATATGTGCTAATGACAGATTAATTAGGCTTAATAAATTCGTCTCGTGATTTACTGACGGATTCTATAATTTATTTTTTTATTAGTATCCAAACACCCTAAAACTTTACACCCTGAAACTAAACAAGGCCTCAGTCTCGCGTTAGGCAGGGTGGTGTTCTAGCACTTGTGCATCCTTAAAAAAAAGCTGCAGAACTATTTTAAAGCTGCAATAGAGCATGTATCTGCGTTGGGAGGATGTGAGTTCTCTCTATTGCTTGTTTATGTGTACTGTAATTTTTTCATGAGGCTAACAGCTTTGTTCGCCCGCGTTGGTGGTGCCCTTAGCGGCCATACCAGACACGGTTTTCTACAAGTCCTTGATGCCTCCGGTCCATTTTATCTGATACACACGCATATTAAGATTTAAATTTTAAAAACTTTAACCAATAATTAAACTAATAATTTTTAACTATTATAATACAAACTTTATATGAATAGATTTGTAAGAAATTATACTATCCAATGATTATAAGTTTATAAGCATAAATAATATAATGTAAAGCAAATGAATGGTGAAAGATCTACGATGTCGAGCTCGACGCTAAGATCCACGACGCCGAGCTCATGCCACATCCGCGTCATGCAAGCAGCCACGTCAACGACACGCAGAAAATAACCCTGGACGAGACGTGTAAGCTCGGCGCCAATTATTATGACGCCGAGGACAGAATCTATTTTTTGAAAGAATACTGTTAGGGACGTATTTATAAAAATCTTTCAAAAAATGGGCTGAAAAAAAATTCGGCTAAACCGGCTTCTCCTCGGAGGCGCGTAACCCACCAGAATCTCGTTGTCAAAATAAATAATTAAATAACGACCAGAATCCGCGGCTACCGTGATCCCGGATAACAAATCCCCCGCAGCAAAGGAAAATTGATTTTGACATCGATCATCGTCCCCTTCCTCCACTAAACCCTAGCTAACCCGCGCCCGCGCCGCCGCCATGGACGCGATCGACGCGGAGCTCGCGCGCGCGCGCGCAGGAGGAGCGGCGCAAGGTGGAGGAGGCGCTGGCGGCCGGCGCGTCCATGGCCGTGTCCTCCGTCACCTTCGACACCGATCTCTACGGCGGCGGGGGCGCCGACCCGGACCGCTTCGCCGGCTACGACACCTCCATCCCTGCCTCCGAGGACGCCGCCGCGGAGGACGAGGCCGCCGCCGACCTCCCGCGCTCGGCCGACGGCGACGACGATGGGCTAGGGCTGCCCAAGCGGTCCCAGCGCATCATCGACCGCGAGGACGACTACCGCCGCCGCCGCCTCAACCAGATCATCTCGCTAGAGCGCCATGACCCGTTCGCCGCCGGGGAGGTCACCCCGGACCCCGCGGTGCGGAACTACGCCGACGTCATGCGCGATGCCGCTCTGCAGAAGAAGAAGGAGGACCTGCTCAGGGAGATTGCTAAGAAGGAGGAGGAGGAGAGGAAGGCTGCCGCCGTTCCTGAGCAGCCAGCCGCCATGACGACGAAGCGACGCAACAGGTGGGATCAGTCGCAGGAAGGCGATGCTGCTGCCGGTGCCAAGAAGGCAAAGACATCGTCGGACTGGGATGCCCCTGACGCGACTCCTGGGATTGGGCGTTGGGATGCCACCCCGGGACGTGTTGGAGACGTGACGCCTTCTGTCAGAAGGAACAGATGGGATGAGACACCAACTCCAGGGAGGATGGCTGATGCTGGTGCGACACCTGCAGCTGGCGGTGCGACTCCTGGGGCAACTCCTTCTGGGGCTTGGGATGCGACCCCAAAGCTGCCTGGTGGTGTCACGCCAACCCCTGGTAAGAAGCAGAGATCAAGGTGGGATGAGACGCCAGCCGGTATGGGGAGTGCAACCCCGGTGGTCTTGGTGGTGCTGCAACACCTGCTGGTTATACCCCTGGGCCGACGCCATTTGGTGCAGAGGACCTTGCCACACCAACTCCTAGCCAGATCGCTCGTGGACCTATGACTCTGGACCTGTACAACCAATCCCGGTGGCAGCAGGACATTCAGGAGAGGAACAGGCCTCTCACCGATGAGGAGCTTGATGCCATGTTCCCAGGGAGGGTACAAGATTCTTGAGCCCCGGCTTCCTACCAGCCCATAAGGACCCCAGCAAGGAAGCTGCTTGCCACACCAACACCTCTGGGGACACCACTTTATGCTATTCCAGAGGAGAATCGTGGGCAGCATTTTGATCTGCCCAAGGAGACGACTGGTGGGTTACTGCTCATGAAGCCGGAGGATTACCAATACTTTGGAGCATTGCTGAATGAGGAAGTGGAGGAACAGCTATCTCCAGAGGAGCCGAAGGAGAGAAAAATCATGAAACTGTTGCTCAAAGTGAAGAATGGCACACCCCCACAGCGTAAAACAGCACTTCGGCAGCTGGCAGACAAAGCCCGGGAATTCGGTGCTGGACCACTTTTCAACAAAATCCTGCCCTTACTCATGCAGCCAACACTGGAGGACCAGGAGAGGCACCTCCTGGTGAAGGTTATTGATAGGGTACTGTATAAGCTGGATGAGTTGGTCCGTCCCTTTGTGCACAAGATTCTTGTGGTTATTGAACCGTTGTTGATTGATGAGGACTACTATGCTCGTGTTGAGGGCAGGGAGATTATCTCAAATCTTAGCAAAGCAGCTGGTCTTGCTACTATGATTGCTGCCATGAGACCGGATATTGATAACATTGATGAGTATGTGAGGAACACCACTGCTAGGGCGTTCAGCGTGGTGGCTTCTGCTTTGGGCATCCCTGCTCTTTTACCATTCTTGAAGGCTGTCTGTCAAAGTAAGAAGTCTTGGCAGGCTCGGCACACTGGTATCAAAATCGTTCAGCAGATTGCTATTCTCATGGGCTGTGCTGTTCTACCACATCTCAAGTCACTAGTTGAGATCATTGAGCATGGTCTGAGCGATGAGAACCAGAAAGTCAGGACAATTACTGCCCTTTCTCTTGCTGCACTTGCTGAGGCTGCTGCACCATATGGTATAGAAAGTTTTGATACTGTATTGAAGCCTTTGTGGAAGGGTGTCAAATCTCACCGCGGGAAGGTCCTAGCTGCCTTCCTGAAGGCCATTGGTTTCATCATCCCTCTTATGGATTCTGTGTATGCTAGTTTCTACACAAAGGAGGTGATGCAGGTCCTCATTAGGGAGTTCCAATCTCCAGATGAAGAAGATTGTCCTCAAGGTTGTGAAACAGTGTGTCAGTACAGAGGGGGTGGAGGCTGATTATATCCGGAATGACATCCTTTCAAAATTCTTCAAGCACTTCTGGGTCAGGAGAATGGCTCTAGATCGCAGGAACTATAAACAGCTTGTGGAAACTACAGTGGAGATGGCAAACAAGGTTGGAGTTGCTGATATTGTTGGGAAGATTGTTGAGGATCTGAAAGATGAAAGCGAGCCCTACAGAAAAATGGTGATGGAAACAATTGAGAAGGTGGTGGCCAACTTGGGTTCTTCAGATATTGATGCTCGTCTGGAGGAGCCGCTTATTGACGGTATCTTATATACTTTCCAAGAGCAGACTAGTGATGATGCAAATGTCATGCTTAATGGTTTTGGAGCTGTGGTTAATGCAATTGGACAGAGAGTTAAGCCTTACCTTCCTCAGATTTGTGGTACCATCAAGTGGCGATTGAACAACAAGAGTGCAAAAGTTAGGCAGCAAGCTGCTGATCTGATCTCCAGGATAGCAGTTGTTATGAAGCAGTGCCAGGAGGAGCAGCTTATGGGTCACTTGGGTGTTGTGCTGTATGAGTACTTAGGGGAGGAGTATCGTGAGGTGTTGGGTTCAATTCTTGGAGCCTTGAAGGCTATCGTCAATGTCATTGGTATGACTAAAATGACTCCTCCAATCAAAGACCTTCTTCCTCGTCTGACCCCCATCTTGAAGAACAGGCATGAGAAGGTCCAAGAGAACTGCATTGATCTTGTTGGTAGGATTGCTGATCGTGGAGCAGAATTTGTGCCAGCAAGGGAATGGATGAGGATTTGTTTTGAGCTGCTTGAAATGTTGAAGGCTCATAAGAAGGGTATTAGGAGAGCCACTGTGAACACATTTGGTTATATTGCAAAGGCTATAGGGCCACAGGACGTGTTGGCCACCCTGTTGAATAACTTGAAGGTGCAGGAGCGACAGAACCGTGTCTGCACAACTGTAGCAATTGCCATTGTTGCTGAAACTTGCTCACCTTTCACAGTTTTGCCTGCCCTTATGATTGAGTACCGGGTCCCAGAGCTCAATGTCCAAAATGGTGTTCTGAAGTCACTCTCTTTCCTCTTTGAGTATATTGGTGAGATGGGCAAAGATTACATATATGCTGTCACCCCCTTACTTGAAGATGCTTTAATGGATAGAGATCTGGTTCACCGCCAGACTGCTGCCTCTGCTGTTAAGCACATGGCTCTAGGTGTTGCTGGCTTGGGTTGTGAGGATGCTTTTGTTCATCTGCTTAACTATGTTTGGCCTAACATATTTGAGACATCTCCCCATGTTATAAATGCTGTCATGGAGGCAATTGAGGGGATGAGGGTTGCGCTAGGTCCAGCTGTGATTTTAAATTATTGCCTGCAAGGTCTCTTCCATCCAGCAAGGAAAGTACGTGAAGTGTATTGGAAGATATACAACTCTTTGTACATTGGTGCACAGGATTCGCTTGTTGCTTCTTACCCTGCCCTGGAAGACAATGGGGATAACATCTATAGCTGTCCAGAGCTGGCAGTGTTTGTCTGATTAACGTGAGTCTTGCTTACTCCCAAATTTTTGCACGATGATATTAAAAGCTTTGTTTTCAGTTCATTATCTGGATCCTTAGACCATGAAGCTCAAATCTACTTGTGTCACTGACTTCTGTATTCTAGTAACCAACCTCATTGTAGTTTTTAGTTTGCTGCTTTGCTTTAAGTGAAGTGATTTCTGTTCTTTAATGATTTTTTTTAGGAATCTGGAGGGGCTTTCGTCCCTACATTTAATGAATATATTTGGGGTGATTATTGGTGTGATGAGTGATGATTTAAAAACACTGATTCCAATTTTGGCCTGGCTATTCGTAAGGCGTCATTCATTATTGTTTGGATTTAATGTCAAGGCTCTAGATAATTGCATTGCTAACACTTGTGGCACGTGACTGTTGTCAGTGAGCTGGGCAATTTTTACCATTTGATCTTGCATTATCAAGCAGTAGTTTGTCTGTATTGTGTTCGTTTTTGCTTTTGTTTTTCCTGTATGTTCTCTCTGCAAAGGAAGAATCTGATATGCAAACTCATTGACAGGTTGGATGTTCATGTCCATGTATCTTCATCCATATTTTTGTGAAGCTTGAACTAGGTGGTATTTGAGTTAGATACAACAACAACAACAACAACAAAGCCTTTAAGTCCCAAACAAGTTGGGGTAGGCTAGAGTTGAAACCCAACAGAAACAATCAAGGTTCAGGCACGTGAATAGCCTTGGTATTTGAGTTAGATCTTGTATTTAAATTACTTGGTGACCCCTCTTGTGATGCATGTAACTGAAGCTGCATCTCTTTGTACTTGCAGGATTGTTCCTTTTGAAGGGGTTGCAATGTTTAGGAAATTTAATTCTGGTTTACTGTAATATGCAACTCTAAATTGCTCCCATAATCTGATCAACTAATCATTTCGGAATTGTTTTGCTTTCAGGGTACTTTGTGTTCAAGCTGCTGAAGAGTTCCACCGGATTTAGGGTCAATACCAAGGCTGCAGCATATTTAGTTCACTGCTGAGTAACCATTAATCTATCAGGATCATATAGGTTGAAGAAATGACAATCATAGGGTGTTATCGTACTTTTATGAATAATTAGGCTATGACAATACTGTGTACTTAAACTTTGTATTAGCCGTGGAGTAGCTTGTATGGAGGAGAGAATGGTGTTTTCATATGGTTTGGTCATGTAAATGCCTGTTCTCTTCGAGTCTGAGGTTTCTCTTATAATTGGCATACGCTGCTGGATAGTTTTGTACTTGCTTACCTTCATACTGTTTCAAGGCTAAAACCATTACTATGTTGCAACTTTTTATTTATGTTTGCTGTGATACTGGATGTTCTCAGATGGTGTTTAATGCAACAAATAAATGTATGTGTTGTGTGTTTTGACATCCTGCGAACCCACAAGGTATCAGGTTTATTAAAACTCCCTCGGCTTTCCCTCATGACGAGGGAGTTTGGAGCATCGGTGGCTCCTTTGGCTGGACGTGTGACCGCGGTGCCTGGGAAACCAACACCGGTGTCTTCGGGCCTCCTACTGTTGCTGAGGGCACGCTGGAGTGTGGCGACAACAGCTTGTTCCGGATGCATACCGTCGAGGACTTGGAGGCGACCATCAGGTATGTACCCCTACCCTCCTATCCCATCTCCTCTCCTTTCTGAATTAGAAAAATGTTGCTGTGTGATGGATTGTTTAGTTGAACTGAATCTCCGGATGCATATAACCACAGAAAGCCTAAAATTTGCTCACTCAACTCAGTGACCAATGTGACCTTATCAGTGAGGCTTTCTAACTCTAATTCAGTGACACCAACTGAGCTCCGTTGCTCCAAACTTCATGGTTCATTTCCTGAATTCACCATATGAAAATTTGATAAGCAAATGAATAGGGAATTATGGTTGGGAACAGTCAAAGAACATGTACCTCTGAATCGCAGCATATGCAGTTTAGCGCTTCATCATACCATTGCAGGTATGTGCAGTGTGCACTAAGTGAAATTTCATGGATGAAGCTGTGAACTATTTCTCCTTTGGATGCCCAAATGGGTATTTGTTAGGATTTGTTTAATCCCCCTTGCTTTCTTTGCCATATAATGGCTCACATGTATTTTGTTTCGCGTTAAAAGGCTCCTTTTGGGCTGAGACGCAGCATGAGGCATCGCTTTTTGGTGTTTTTGTTTAAGTTGTTCCTGTGGTCTCCTTCCTGAACTGAAAACTTTATATAATTATATATATGTCCATGTTTGTATTTCTCCACCAAAATGCAGATTACAACAATTGAGTTCATGAGTATGATGCATTTAAGGATAAGTGTAAATATTGACAAGTGCAGGTTAAAAACACTCAAATAGTTTAATCAAACAATGTGTCTGTTGTGATATGTCAGTTGTTTGAAATAGTTCAGTATGTTTTACTCTACATGCTTCATGATATGCTTTGTACCTTGAAATATTTTGATAACTTCAGTCTCATGGACATTTTGATAATTTTAGTTGTTTTGGTAATCAGTTCTACGATAGGTCAAATTGAGTTCTGCTGCAGACTTGCCACCTTGTCCTAATACATGCACTTCAGTAGCTGTACAAAAGTCAGGTTAGTTAGAAATGTAATTTTGTCACATATAGTTTCAATGACACAACGGATGGCTAATGACCATCGGCACAAATTCTTTAGTGTTGTATTGAAGTAGCTTGCTAGCCAGTGTTCTGTTCACCTCAGTGCCCTATATCAGGCTATAACACCTATATCAGGAATAGACTAGCCAGTGTGATGCCAGAGAGCATTTCTGTCAATTGCTACTTGGTTGCTTGATCCTTTACCACTCAGAACATTCTTGTTTGCGTTAAAAATTAGAGGTCAACTTACTTTTTACCACTAAGAAATTTGTCATGTGATAGAATTAATAAAAATACTTACAAGGAGGTGGGCTTTCCTTCTGTCTGAAGGCAATGGCAGGTTAATGACTTGGTCCTGTGTGTTCTTCTGTTCATCTGTGCCATGCTTTTCAATTCTTGATTGTTGGAATATCCTGTTTTTTGGTAGTAGCTTTGCTCCCTGAATTGTTCCCCTGCTCTTTAGCTTAATCATTCTAAGAAATTTAGCAGAATGCCTCTCTGACTTTTTAGCATTTTGTTGTTCTAATGCTTCTTTCTACGGCTTCTTGCAAATGTTTTTTTTCTTTTCCTGTGGCGGTTTTCCTATTTCGTATGTGTTCGCTATCTCTTGGTGCCTACTGTTTCCCTTCCTTTATTGACAGTGAATTCAGCTATGAAATGGAAGCTCTGTTAAATAGCAGAGTCTGACTAGCAGCACTGTAGAAAATTTTAGTGGCCCCTGAACTGAAACTGACAGAGACCCACAAATGCAGCATGGGTTCCATGCATGTTTTGTAACCTGAACAATACACATCCAGGCATGAATGTTGGATACAGTACACGTAAATAGCTGTGACCACTCTCTGTATTGCAAATAAGTACAGTATGGTTTTTTTTCTTATTACCTGTAGGTATTTAGCTAAACATTAGTATTACGCTACTAGTTCGTGCTTAATATGGGCGGGTGGGCGTACGGGCCAACGAGCCAGCCATCGTCGATGCGGCGGTTCGCCGCCTCGGTGAGGTGCACGCCGTCCCAGTCCACGTACGCCGACGGGTCCGCGCAGGTGCTGACGCCCGGTGAGGTTGAAGTTGTACCCCCGCCGCCGCCGCAGCAGCAAGCTTTCAGAGCACTGTCGCCATCAGTGCCGTTGAAGCCGTAGCGGTCGGGAGACGTCGCGAAGTCGACGATGGACGCGTAGAAGTCGGCGTAGATGAGCCTCACGCCGTCAGAGCCCGACGGAGCTGCCGGTTGTGGTTCTTGGAGAGAAGGTTCAGGTACCTGAGGCACCCCGTGCGTGGCTCCAGCTCTGCCCCGGTCTGGTTCGCCGGGAGCGCCAGGTTCGCTGCCGCGCACCCCAGCGGTGGGATCCCCGACACCACCACCGTCTTGCTGCCGTCTTTTTCAGTTTCTGCGGCGAGGCACAGGCGAGAGTGTGAAGTGGAAATGTGGAACACTACCGTATAAGCTCGATCATGTACCTCCGTGGCCGCGCAGATGTTTCCAACGATTTCAGGCACGTGAGATGCCGCCTCGCCGACGCTCTTGCCGGCGAGCAGCATGATCGCGTAGTCGTTCCAGCCGAGCTCCCCGACGATGAACAGCGCCGTCGCCAAGTACCCCTGGCATGCTACGTACAGATCGTAGTAGTACGTTTCAGGTCTGAGCACTTGCGATTGCGAATCAACGACGATTCTTGCGTGTGGTAGCGTGTCGCGAGAAAGAACCTTGGGGCTTGAGGGCGTCGAACCACCCGAGCTGGACGCCGAGGGAGATGTTGAACGGAGAAACGGCCTTGAAGCCCTTGTCCCCAGCGCCGTGGCGCCGCCCACCGCGAAGTTCACGCCTCGCCGGAAGCTCTGGTTCGCCGCCGCCAACAACGACGGCAGGAGGAGAGGGAGCCCCAGCGCTTCGGCTGCATGGAAACGGATGGAGGACGTCATACGTCAGCCTCGCAGCACCGGCAAGTCCGGTGGTTTTGAACCATGTGTGCTTGCATGCATATTGCCGGAAGGAGGCAGCAGCAGGGCTTGCCGATGAAGTCGATCGCCAATCTCCCGTCGGAGGCGCGGCCGGTGGGGTGCGCGAAGAAGGTCATCCCATACGGCGGCTTCGCTATCCATACACCGGGTGTGAGGTGTCGCCGGCCCGCCGTAGAGGATGACAAGGTTGCCGGTGTCATTGTAGGAGTAAGATCGAGGTGTAGTTGGCCTGCATCGAACAGGAGAAGCTGGAGAGTAACAGAAAGATTCGCATGCAGAGAACTGCTAGGGGCTTCAATGGAGCTCCCGAAGATCGGAATTGCAGGGTTCTGTCCCTTCCAATTTCCAAAGGAATGTAATCGGAAGGTTTATTTCTAGTCGTATTTGCAATGTTCGTTGGGTTCCGAGTCTTTGTGTGGTTTATACA